GGAGGACGAGGCCATGGCATTGAACGAGAAGACAAACTCCTTTCTGTCATTCATGCTGGGTGACTGGGAGTGATACCTGGGGATACCTGTAAAGGGGAAAGAAATTGGTATCATTATACAGGACATGGCCACTACACCTGTCAATCTCCTGCTGTGGGGGAAGGGCAACAGACATTGCATGCTGAGGCTGGTAGTTCATCCACAACTGTTCCACAATCATTATAACAAAATTATATATATATATATATATATATATATATATAATATATATATATATATATATATATATATATATACACACACATATATATATATATTTAATTCAGTAATTAAATATGCAATAGCTAAATAGTTTATCTTGAGAATAGGATGGTATTATTATAAGAAAAAGTAATTACCCCCCTCAAAAATGTAACATAGACCTTGTGAAGGAATGAAATGAAGATTCAAAACTATCACGATCGGTTTCTGCTAAGTTTATATAGTTATTACCCTACATTAAATTATTATTATTATTATTATTATTATTATAAACCAAAATTATTATCACAACTTTCATTTTCAGTATTTATTTATTAATTATGTTTATTTGTACTTAAGTACTTTTACGTATTTATAAAATATAGGTCAATAACTATACAATAGCTATTTTGAGGATAGGATGTTCTATAAAATTATTATTATTATTATTAATATTATTATTCGTGGTATTAAGAATAAAGTAATAACCCCCAAAAATGTAACATGCAGACCTTGAGAGATTATTATACTATAATTATCAACTATCATGGTGGTTGTATGCTACTTTTTATACCTTATCGTTCTTACCCTACAATATATTATTATAATTATTATTATTATCCAAAGTGTATGGAGTAGGCAGACTGAAAAAATTAGTGAATTATTATCACAAAATTAGTTTCATTATATAATTATGTATATAATAATTATGTATTTTTTGTGTACATTTATTTTTACCATCACAAAACTATTCTGCATAGAACTACCTTGAAAGTGTAATATGATTATCATTTTATTATGATAGTTTTGTGCTGAGATTGATATAATCACCCTACAGTTATTACAATAATAATAATAATTATTATTATTTATATTTAAGTAATTTCTGAGAACAAAAATATTTCAGATTGTCTATATATGTGTTATTAGAATTTTTATTTTATAAATTATTATTATTATTGTTATTATTATTACAGGTAGTGCCATCAATTTACACAGCGCCCTTACATATATTGTACAAACCCTCAAGGAGGGTTTGTACAAATATATACAATATATAGGGCCAATTTAGACAGAAGCCAATTAACCTACTAGTATGTCGTTGCATATAAATAGATAGATAGATAGATTAGATAGAAAGAGAGATTAGATAGATAGAAAGATAGATAGATAGATAGATAGATAGATAGATAGATAGATAGATAGATAGATAGATAGATAGATAGATTTATCAATTATGTATCATATGTATATGTATGTATGTATGTATCTATCTATCTATCTATCTATCTATCTATCTATCTATATATCTATCTATCTATCGGTATAACATACTATACATACACAACTACAATATTTCAAAATATATACTAATTAGATAGATAGATAGATAGATAGATAGATAGATAGATAGATAGATAGATCTGGGATAGATAGATAGATAGATAGATAGATAGATAGATAGATAGATAGATAGAGATAGAGCGAGAGAGATTATTTATAATAAAGTTGCATTTCTTTTGATTTATGTACAGGTTTTATTTTTATTTTGTCACTGTTGCTGCTTTAACAGGTTAATTTTAGATGGAAATTACAGAAAATTATCATAACCTATGCTTAGCAGTGTTACAATAACAAGGAGATATTAAATAACAGTTAACTGAGCCCATAAAAGCATTTATAAAAAGTATAACAGTAAACTGAAATGTGCTTGATAATGTGGAAGCTGATTTTCCTAAAGTGGTTGAGAATCTTCACACAATAAATTATGAGAATATTCTCTTCAATTATCCAATCACGTGAAAATGAAACTGCTGTTTACTTACTTCATTTGCACATGATTGGATAATTGAAGTGAATATTCGCACAATTTTATTTAAGCTCCTTTAGAAAATCAGCCCCAACATGTCCCATGTATATTTCATTTCCTCTCCATGTGTGTTCATGGTAGATGTTTCTTCCCTGTTGCAGATGTGCGCCCGAAAATAAAGAAATAGACGTTTTTAGTAAAAGAAGACTGACAAAGGGAAGTTTTTCATTATATGGAGTGAACGGAAAACTGCTCCATACCCTCAGAACATCCCAACCACTTATTGGGGTAATTATGATAATTTGTCATGATAGGAGACAGCAACAGAAGAGCTCTGGGGAACCGGATAGATAGAGTAATAGGAGCTTAAAATCATTCCATATTAAGGGACAGCTTCTCCTGAAAGAGTTGCAACTATTAAATAATAAAAAATGATAGAACTGATACCCAATCATATAAAAGTATCATCTGTGATGTTGGGTGTTCGGTATTCCATATGTGTTAGTTGTACCCACTTCCATCCCCAGCACTGGGAGGAGGAAAAAAAATAGAAAACAAAAACAAAGAAAGAATGAAAGAAAAAAAAGAAAGAAAGATGGATGGATGTGGTTGGTTGGATGGATATAGAGAGGGGAGGAATAGCATAAAAAGATGGGAGTAAATCAAATGTGTTTAATAAACAGATAAAATATTTGAAGAGAAGAATGTGTGTTACATCGTAAAAATATAAAGACATGGGGGTAGAGGGAAATAATATTTATAAAGAGGAAAGGGAAAATGTATGTTTGCTACATGATAGTAGAGAAGAGAAAGAAGGAAAGAAAGAAAAAGAAGAAAGAAAGAAAAAGAAAGAAAGAAAGAAAGAAAGAAAGAAAGAAAGAAAGAAAGAAAGAAAGAAAAAAGAAAGAAAAGAAAAAGACAAATGTATATTACATATCTTATATTATATATAATATATTATGATAATATGTATGATGCAAAAAGATATATATTTTTTTTAATTTAGAAAGCGCAGGAATGGAATAGAAATAAAAATGGGGATAAAAAGGAGAGGAATGGAATAAAAGAAGGGAGAGGATGGAAGAGAGAGAAGAAATAAACTTCTGTAGAGACCTAGAGGTTAATGGAAAAAAAAATAAAAACAGAAATAGGCAAGTGAGAGAGATTCTTGTGTTCAGTATAAATATATATATATATATATAATATATATATATATTAATATATATATATATTATTTACAAAGAGGTATAGACCTGCAAACTTTTGAGAGATAGAAACACTGGTGTGTCTATAAATTTTGCATTTTAGGAAAGGACACACATTCTTATATACGCGTAATATATGACATTATTTTTTTTATTACAATTACCATATTCAAAAGAATTAGTATTTATTTTAATGAATGGCATCAGCTTAACCTAACAGATATAAGGAATGAACGCATGGAAACATTCTCTCTGGATAACATTAGAATGTGTTCTAGGCAGGGCGACAACAGGAAAGCACAAAGCTGCCTTCAGGGGATGGTGGTCAGTGGGGACTACGTGCCCCCTGGGGGCAGAACAAGCCTGAGGCCTTCAGACAGACCTTCACCCTCAATTTCCCTGGCTGCAGCCCTGGTGGCACCACACTAACTGCTGCCATGCCATCCTGTCCCACATGTGCTCCCTCAGACCATCACCTCCCCCTCATCTTATTATCCCTCATTTTTTCTCTTCATGCCTGCAGAGATAATTCCCAGGTTTAGTTCAGGATGGGACAGCTTGGCCAGATTCAGGCTATCCTCTCAGCTGGTGAGTCATCTGTGCACTATGGTGGGCCCTGGGGTAGTGATGCATAAGAATTATCCCACTGTGCTTCTAGATCAACCTTTCTCAACCTTTTCAACACAGAGGAACCCTTGAAATAACTTTTTTTCTCAAGGAACCCCTGCTAAAAATGACTATATCTATAACGCATCATCGGGAAGAAATATCCATATACTTTTGGTGGTCATTGGGAGGAATTACCCCCCCCCCCCCCCTCCTACAGAGAGCTATAAAGATCAATGGTGTCGGTGGGAACTTCTCTGAGAGCCAGAAATTGCTTATTGCTCAAGGAACCCCTAGCAACCTCTGGAGGAACCCTGTTGAGAAACACTCTTCTAGATTTTATTTGTACGCAGATGGATTCTCTCTGGTCTGTACTGATCCTCAGTTACAATTGGTTGCATTTATATAATACAATTGCATGAACTGTCACAGGAAATAGGAAATAGACTTGGAATTTCTGGAGGAGCCATGATGTGCAAGAACACAAATCAGTCAATTAAAGGTCATTATGCCTTCTTTCATATAAAGTATTGATGATTGGTTGCTATGGGTTACTGTACATTGATCATTGCCTTATAAGGCCACCCTTGGCACAATGGGCCACCAGTGGCTGGCAGCTGAGTGGTACTCACCTTGTAAATCAGATGCTGTGTTGTGGCTGTTTTGGTGCAGGTAAGGCTGCTCCAAGGAGTGGGATGACAGGCTGGAGGACAAAGGATTGGTGGCAGAGTTGCAGGGTGACAGGGGCTGTTGCTTGATGTAGGGTGCCCCTCCTGAGAGGGCAGAAGAAGTGGGTGCCCAAGCTGAGGCTGGGCTGGTGTACACCGAATGTTGGCTCCATGACACCCCCTCCTCCAAGGAGAGGAGACCCTGATTCGTGGTGAGAGTAATCACCCCCTGAGGAACCTGTGCAGCTGCCCATGTAGGAGTGGCCCCCGTTGGCAGTCAGGTGCGACACTGGGTGCCCAGTTAACCCCATCCCATCCACGTTGCTTGACAAATGCCCATTCATCATGCCTATGCCACTGTCCAGTGCCAGACTGTTGGGTGGGCAGGAGATGCCTCCTCCAGATCCCTGGAAACTGTAGCTCTCCGGTATGTGGTTGAAGCCCAGACCATTCATCATGCTGTACATGGCTTCAAGGCTTGGCATTCCTCCTGAAGCCTCTGGGCCTTCTCCTGAAGGATCCTTCCTCAAACATGAACTCGCTGGCTGGGTCAATGGTCCAGTAGTGCCCTTTGCCTGGCCTGCCCAACCCCTTGGGCAGCTTGATGAAGCACTCATTGAGGGACAAGTTGTGCCTCACAGAATTCTTCCAGCCCTGATAGGAGCCCCTGAAGAAAGGGAACCTGCTCTGGAGGAACTGGTAGATCTCACTAAGGGTCAGCCTCTTGGTTGGGGAGCTTTGGATGGCCATGACGATCAGGGCTATGTAGGAGTATGGGGGTTTCTCTGGCCTCCTGATGCCGGCATTGGTCTTCTTGGTCTTGGTGGTGCAGGAGGCTGACTCCATGACCGTGGTCTGCTTCTCGGTGGCTCCAGACATGGGGCTGCTCTGGGAGGGGGTCTGGGAGGGCGGCTGTTGGATCTCTGCTGTCATTTGCAAAGCTGAGAGGCTTCAGATCTTGGAGAAGTGGATGGAGGTCAGAAGGTTGGAGAGGCTGGGAGATTGTGGCAGTTGATGGAGGACTGTAGAAGGCTGGTCAAGGGAGCCTGGAAGAGCCTGGTAGACTGCAGCTTCTTCACCTGGGACAGTTGGTAGAGGACTGTAGAAGGTTGGTCAGTAGAACCTGGTCTAGAGAGACTGGAGGATGCTGGACAGGAGAGCCTGGAAGACACTGGTCAGGGGAGCCTGGAAGAGAGCTGGACGAGGCTGTTCTGAAAAGTCTGGAAGAGAACTGGAAGACGCTGGTCAGGGAAGCCTAGAAGAGAGCTGGAGGAGGCTGGTCAGAGGAGCCTGGGAGAGAGGAACGTCTACTACTGGATGCAACAGCTGGAACAGGAAGAGGAATATTAGCAAGCTGGCCGTCCAGCCCAGTTTTGGCTGCTGTCTCAAAGCTCTGCTTCCCTGGACAGGGCTGGGATCTGTAGCTCGGTTCTCCTGCTGTAGCTGGGTCTGTTCCCTGGACCTGGATACAACAATGTCCAATGTTCTGCCCTGGGTAGAGTTGGGCTCTGCTGACTCCAGATGACTCCTGCTCTGCACTCTTCTCCCCTTGCATGCAGCCTTGCCCCTGAGCCGTGCAGTCTAGGCGCTGCCTGGAGTCACCTGTGACCTGCTGTGCATTGCAGCTTCTCCTGGATTGAGCTCCGACGCTGCTCTCCGCCTTTTACTTATCGCGACTCATCTGCATTTGTCGACTCTTCACAGTCAGACGTAAGAAGTAGGGTGGCCCCGCCCACAGACCCCCCTCCTACTTTTTTTTTTTCTGGGTACAACACCCCCCTCCCCTGACAACTGGGGGTCAATTAAAGGCGCCACTGCCTTCACCCTTTAAATCACTCTTGTAACTTTATTTTTATCAATTCTCCTGAACCTTCTGTCAGATTTTATACTAGCAATGGATTCCATTAGCGGCCAGCCAAGGACTGCTTCCCTACACAGCAGCATGGAGTGATACAGTGTGCATGAATATAATAAAGATAGCAAACTGCAGACAATATTCCTGGGCTCTTCTATTTACTCATCTCCCTTTGTCAGGGGGAACTACAGGTCCCAGCTGCCCCTTCAAAGCCAAAATAGGTTTGAGGAGTATTTAATTTTGAGTAGGCTGGGGCTTGTTGTTCTGCAACAGAAAAGGAGCCACCAGACAGGTCGGGGCATTTAACTTTGCAATACATGTAGAGCTACAAGGTAAGCTGGGACTTCTTGTTCTGCAGCTGATGGAAAGAGATAAGGTATCCTGGGACTTCTAGTGTCCAACAGATGGAATGCTATACGGCAGGCTAGAGGTTCTGCTCCTTCAGCAGAAGAGGAGCCACCAGGTAGGTTGAGACATTTAATTTTGCAATACATGTAGAGCTACAAGGCATGCTGGGACTTCTGGTTGTGCAACTGATGAAGAGCTATAAGGCAGACTGGACGTTCTAGTTCTTCACCAGATTGAGAGCCACAAGGCAAGCTGGGATTTCTAGTTCTTCAACAGATGAGGAGCCACCAGGCAGGTTGGGACATTTTATTTTGCAATACATGTAGAGCTACAAGCTGGACTGGAAGCTTTTGGTTCTGCAGCTGATGGAGGGAGACGAGGCATGCTGGGACTTCTAGTATCCAAAATATGGATAGCTATAGGGCTGGCTGGAAGTTCTAGTTCTTCAGCAGATTAAGAGCCACAAGGCAAGCTGGGAGTTCTAGTTCTTCAGCAGATGAGGAGCCACCAGGCAGGTTGGGACATTTCATTTTGCAATACATGTAAAGCTACGAGGTAGACTGGGACCTCTGGTTCTGCAGCTGATGGAGAAATACAAGGCATGCTGGGACTTCTTGTAACCAAAATAAGGCAGACTGGAAGTCCTAGTTTTTTCAGCAGATTGAGAGCCACAAGGCAAGCTGGGGGTTCTAGTTCTTCAACAGATGAGGAGCCATCAGGCAGGTTGGGACATTTCACTTTGCAATACATGTAGAGATACAAAGCTATAAGGTAGACTGGGACCTCTGGTTCTGCAGCTGATGGAGAGAGACAAGGCATGCTGGGACTTCTAGTCTCCAACAGATGGAAAGCCACAAGGCAAGCTGGAAGTTCCAGCTCTTTAATAGATGAGGAGCCACTAGGCAGGCTGGGATGTTTAGCTTTGCATTACATGTAGAGATACAAGGCAGGCTGGGACTTCTGGTCTCCAGCAGATGGAGAGTCAAAAGGCAAGCTGGGAGTTTTAGTTCTTCAACAGCTGGAGAGCCACAAAAAAGGCTGGGATTTCTAGGTGGAGAACCACACGTTAGGCTGGGAGTTGTAGTTCTGTAACAGTTAGAGAGCCACAATGCATGCCGGGTATTATAGCTCCACAAGGTGCAGATCAGGAGAGAAAAGTTCTAGAACATTTTCAAGCTGTTTTGCAGCCTACCATCTCTATTAAACGCCCTCCTCTCCTCACCCCATATAATCATAATTAAAAATAATAATAATAACACCCACATACATAATGCAGCTATTACAGTACTGCATCCTGATACATTATTGACCCCCATATGACGTCACTATGTCCCCTTGCCTTAGGTCCCCTGATGGGTGTTTGCTATGTAAAGTGATATAAGGCCAAGTTTGTAAAGCGGATATTGAAGCATTTTTGTGGGTACTGAGGGCTGGCAGAGTTCAGGGAGAGTTGTGCAGTCCCGGGGGCACGGTGGGCCCCGGTTGGGATCTGCTGGGTCTTGCCCATTTCCAGGGAGTTGCAGTTGCTGTGTTGGAGATAGGATGTTTATACAGCTCAATATAAACAGGTTCTGTGCATACAAAAAAAAAAACGCTCTGCCTTCTTCTCAGACAACGCTCGGTGCTGCCTGCAAACCGCTGTCTGAGCCTGAGCTGCTCCTGGACCCACAGAGGAGAGGGCAGCTGGTGACAAGGGACAGGCCATCCATCAAGGTATGTCACTTGGAACTTTTGTCACCTACTTACAATGCAAGGGAGAGGGCTGGACAGGCTCTACAATGGGGATCAGAGGGGCACAGCTATCCTAGGGGAGGGTAAGGGTCACCTCCCCTTCTTGCAGGCGCGTGTCTAGGGGCCCCTGCAGCTGGGGGGACACCGCAGTCACCTTCACCACTATGAGAGGGAAGGTGCTACACAAGTCAAATCCTATAACAATGCTGGCTGTACTGCAATACAGAACAAAGAATTGTGTATGCACATTGTTTCCGTATTTATTTACTTCTCTGTCATTCGTCAGTAAAACCTCCCTGTCTCCTTCTTTCTCTCCTCTTCTCATTCTTTTCATCATGACCCCCCCCCCCCCCCCCCCACCTCCACCACCACCACCACCACCACCACCACCACCACCACCCCGTGTGTATCTATCATTTTCTGCAGTACAGGACCAAAAATTATTGTATATGGGACATCATTGCTTGAATACAGAATAAAACAATCTTTGCTTTTTATTTTTATTAAAAATAATAAGAATAAGAAAAAGGAAGTGAGAGAAAGAAAGAAAGAAAGAAAGAAAGAAAGAAAGAAAGAAAGAGAAAAAAAAAAGAAAGAAAGAAAGAAAGAAAAAGAGAAAGGAAGGAGAGAAGAGAGAGAGAGAGAGAGAGAAAGAAAGAAAGAAAGAAAGAAAGAAAGAAAGAAAGAAAGAAAGAAAGAAAGAAAAAAATGTATTATTCAGTAGAGAACTAATTACCTCTCTACTCGATCACCATGCACTGTAGTCTGTTCCTAAATGTTAACCAAGCTGCCTTTATATCAACAATAATCAATAATTCATTCACCCTCTGATTACCAGAGTATTTTAATTTTTTTCAGAAAATATAATCATAATAATAATAACAACAACTTTTAAAACAGCAGCTAAATATAATACTACCACTAAAATAATGTTAATGACAACAATAATAGCACCTATTATAACAACCACTGAAAAATGTATGAAAATAATAATAACACGGATTATTAAAACCACTAACTTATTAAAAAAAACGTTAACTATTATAGCAACAACTAACATAATAATAATAATACTAATACCAACGATTATAACAACCACTAAAATAACCAAAAATAACAACAACAGCTATCATAACAGCAGATAAAATACTACTATACTACTACTACCAATAGTAATAATAATAATAGTAATTATTATAGCAACCTCTAAAATAACAATAATATTAACATCTATTATAGCAGGAGCTAAAATACTACTACCACTAATAAAATAATAATAATAATAATAAATTGTAGGGCATGTACTCAGTTGACAATTTCTTTAGCAATTGTAAATAATACATTTCAATAATGTAATAAAACGTTGAAAAAAATAAAATACATCACATACTACACAAAATCATATTCACAATATATATCGGAATATTTGCCCGCCCCCTTGCCCCCCCCCCCCCCCCCCATTCCATCTGTGTCGGGTAATATGTCACTTATAGGATATTGTAAAAATCCTGGCACGCGCCCTAAATAATATTCCTTTGCCCCTCCACCCAACCTATAGATTATAATAACATCATCGTAATTACTGTAGTGAATACTGCTCAGGATAAATATTAGGTTGTCTCTTGACTCCAGGATTGGAGCACAAAAACAGTGAATGTTCACTTCAATTATGTGAATCTTCCCTCTTTTTGAGTTAACATTTTCTACTTCTTTAGTAAATCAGCCCATGCATCTCTGTGCAGTATTCTAGATTTGATCTTTCCTATTTTTGAGTCTCTTCATTGTCCCCTTTAAAACTGGTAAGTGACATGTGGAG